ACTACTGTATCAGCATTCAACAACTACAGCACCAGTTAGACTTATTAAAGTAGATAGTTCAGTAAGTAGAAGTATATTAAAGTAGATTCACTGATAATCTTGTGTTGACAAAACAACAAAATGTCCAAAATTCCAAACACATTTTTGTTACCAGTTTTTAGCTTTTTGTGTTCAACCCAAATGTCAAGTGCAGCAACCATATAATTTAAAGATCTAGAATATTAGGTTGGTTTCTTGCTAGTCAATCATTACCGTACCACCAAACAAATACTAATATGAAATCTTCAACCCTGTGCAAAATAAATAAACATGCAACTGAGAAGTGTGATTTAAATGATTTTAATAATTTACAACAAAAATAAATTCATAATTTAGTAAAACAGGTGGTTGTCTGTTTTATTCATACAGTCATTGATAAGTGAATGATCCCCTTCACACTGGAAATTAACCAACTGAATGAGTGCAGCACAACCTTGCTTCAGGTTTGTGTTGTATGTGGAAAAAAAGTGCAAAGGCTCATCACATTGACGATAATGTCAGAGACTGAGGTGCAAAGACATGTCGGCTTAGAAATCAGGCCTGTCCTTCTTCATCTTGGAGTAGTCCATGTTAATCGTGAAAAGCTGGAAATACACACAGACAAACAAACAAATGTACACAATCAGTAGGAGAGAAGCAATATGGACTTTGAGGCAAGATAACAGAAGAGATATGGTTGTCCACAGAATTATGCTTTCGGTTTGAATCTAACGAGAGCCACATAAAGATATATGAAAGATGACAGTAAATGATCAACGTGCGTCAGATGTTATTTGGACAAAATGTACACAAAGGCTCATACTTTGTACTGGTGGTCGGGCTGCAGGTTGTTCCAGGGCTCGGGGTTGTTCTTACGATCCCATCTGAGGGCAAACAAATCAGCAAACTCTTTAATGTGACGTTATCAGTGTTCTTCTGATGACACTTCAACACACACACACTGAAGAAAGCAAACTTAAATCCACAAGAAGACAATTAATACTTTCTTGGATGTTATAGAGACTTACGAGACGTCAGGGTTTTTCAGAGCCAGCCGACCCAGGTACATCATGCTCATGGTTGCCCCACCACCGATGAAGATGAAGAGGGGGATGAGCTAGTGGGTAAAGAGCAAGATGAAATGAGTGACAATGTAGGTTTCACACCAATTATAACATCATTTGCAATACTAAGATGAGAAAACAACATATAGATTATATATATATTAGCTATATTATGTACTGACTTTAGATATTATTATATATAACAAGATATATTACTATTCTTTACTTCAGTTGTTCTCAACCTTTTCAGCTTTAGACCCCTTAAAAAGGACCTTCTACTCATGACGTGCATTAGTTTTATCCAGTAATTCACAAGAAAGCAAAGATTTACTGGAAATACAGAAGAAGATAAGACTAATTAAGTGCACCACATGCCTATCCTTTCCTATCTCTTCATTTGTCTTGTGACCCCTTGTTGGGGCCCCAGGCCCAAGGTTGGGAACCTCTGTTTTATTCCATTCCAGCTACAACATTACAAGTGCCAGTGTTCAGCATAGAGTACACATAAAATAATCCTATACTGTATCATCACTTTTTAATTTAATCACAAACTTGATGAAGGTTATTACGGTTATTAAGGCCCACACTGATCTATTAATATGGAGGCTGCCGTAAAGCAAACTGTCTCCCCCCGCCGTCCTTGATCCACACACTCATTGCATTGCTTTGGCCTTGAGTCATGCCAGTATGGAGACCATACTGTGCTGTACGTGCTGCAGAGACACACGTACATGGCTGGCTGTGTACCCATTACAGGGCAACGCTATGTCCCCCATCACAGCGGAGACTTCAACCTTTAAAAGATCAAATTACAACAGTGCGCTTCATTCAGTGTATCCTGCCGCAGCGGCGCAGGTGGTTTCATTTTTACTGCTGCCGAAGAAAAGCGGAAAAAAAGAATCCTGTCATTTAGATGAGAGCAAAAAAATATATATATATAATCCTCAGCAGAAGGAAGGGTAGTGACAGGAATATAGTGATGAGAGGAAGGACGAGGAAGATAAATGTGGACTATAATGTGGATGTATTGGTGTCTTTATTGTCCATTTCATCATACATCTGTGGCTACTGTTGAGGAATTTAGACATTTCTGTCATAGACTTGTATTAAATGTAGATTGTAAAACATCACAAACGTTTCGTTAATTGATGAAAGCTCAATTAATACAAATAAATAATAGTAATATATCCGATTGGCCTAATTAAAGTAAGACTTTGGGTGTAACGGGAGCGCGCTTTACCACACCGCGTCCTCCCAGCGCTTTCAATGTCACCGGGTCGTTCAGGTTTTTCTGTTTAAAAAAAGAACAAATACAGGGTTCAGGACTTACAGCTGGATGGTTCTTGAGCTGTTTGGCGACGACCCCCAACATAGACGGCATGGCGGACAATCCTCCCGCTGACGGAGCCCCTTAACGCGAATATCTGCCGGCAAAAAATGCGCGCTTCCCTGCGGAGGATCTCTTGCTGTTTCCTGGACGTACAGTGAACTAACCACCACCTCCTCTACTGTCAGCCAATCCCACAATGCAACGACAACAGCTGTATGAGTGCACCCTGTTTATTCGGTTACATCCCCCCCCAACACACACACACACACACATCTTCATGATCCAGAGAAAGGAACACTGACATCACATTTTCTGTATTTTTAAATTACCTTTTTGTCATATTTGAAAGCTTTAAAACAAATGTGTTTCATGAGTAAATGTAATTTGATATATGAGAGAAAGAGAAAGACTGCTCAGACACTATTTATAAGTAAAGCAATTCAGCTCCATCAGGACAAACCTGATTCATTTGAACTGTTCAGTTTCCCCTTTTTTCGCCACTGAAGAGTGTCGTCAAAGGAAAATGACAGCTCTTTATAGCTATAACTTGTTGCAATGGCACAATTCAGTGCTAAAAACACAGATGGAACAATGCTGGAAGGAGACACAGTTCACCAAGTTTGCAACTTATATTTCATGCCAGAAAATAGTGAGAATGCCCATCATAATTTTCCACAGATCAAGTTGGCATAAGCTTTTGAAACAGTTGGTTTTGTCCACCCAACAAGATGATTCCCAGACATATTCAGTTTAGTTTGAGAAGCTGGAGCCAGCAAACTTTGGGGGATTTTTCAAGCGAAAATGCCAAATAATCAATTATCAAAATAGTCAGTTGACTGTTTCAGAACTATTTGCATGCATTTTCACTCCAACAATGTGATTTAACTGTTAAATTTCACTTCAGGTTTATACTTTTCCCCCAAAAAACGTAGAAATACAGAAAGTACAAAAGACCGATGTGAAGACTTTAAATATCTCATCCAAGACACCATTGTATTGTCAACATCTGGATGACCTGACACCCTGATTGTATCAGTAAGGAATTCTGATTTAACAATGCAAGCGTCATCCACTCGGTTGATGTAACAATGTGGGGAGAAAATGCAGATCTAATATATGTATTCATCTCTTTTTACCCATGTTCTCATTTCACAATGACACAAAGTAGACCCATTACACGTATCACAACTCTCTGCAGACATTCAGACCAGAGCATTATGAGTTATGTCTTAAGACCAGTTTAATAAATCACAAAGACAACACGTTATCAATCATACATTTTGTGGACAGAACACAGAACCTGAGATAACAGCACGCCCACAGCATCCACACCGAGTGAGAAAACATTGAAATTGAGGCTTATTTTGAAAGAAAAAAAGGACAATGTTTCAATCCATCGGTATTTCACCATGATACTAAAACTAGGAGAAGTAAGTCAAACGATCTGACTAGTTAACTTTCCATCCACGTGCACACACATAAACAAAACTCCTGTCAGACAATGAACCCAGGACTAACGTATGGAAGAAACATCTCCTCCTCCATATAAAAACCCTCTCCTGGAAGTGCATAAAAATCCACCCGATACAGTATCTCATATAACACCTGCCTCAATTATACTGACAGAACAAAACTAAAAGTAACAGGGTTTTTTTTTTTTAGCTTATGTTGCGGGTAATTGAAAAAGGATGTAGAAAATACACATTACTACTCTTAAAGTACAAAAGTGAATATAAAAATAAGAAATGCGACTCAAAAGTAGCAGTTCAATTTGTGCAAACATGTCTAGAAATAAAACTATCTGAACATCAACTTGTCAGCTTGGCAGAAGAAAAAAAAAAAAAAATTAACACATTGAGGACAAATCTACACCACTAAAACTGGTTAGGTAGTCAACTAGGCTGTGAAACCTCGAAACTATAAACATACCATCAAGCACACATCTAGAACATCAAGGAATATACATTAAAGACGTGCACAAGTTACTTTTTTTTTTTTGCAAGTAAACAAGAGGACGACAAAAATAACATCTGTACAATTTTTAAAGCAGGAATGCGTGAGCTGAAGCCCTTTAGGTATTGATGCTACCCAAGTCCAACAACTGGAAAATTCCCTTCAGTCTACAATAATCAAAATGTGATTTCATTGAGTTGGTTTTTTTTTGTTTTTTTTTTTTTAAATAATCAGGTGAATAAAAAAAGTACCCAACTGATTTGTCGTGCTTTGTACACCAAACACAGGTGCAAGGTCAAGTTAGGTAAAACATTTAAAGATGAATTGCAGATAAATATCTTTGAATACTTAAAAACAAACTTATCCGAGAATGGTTCTTCTTACTTGACCTAGACTCTTAACATTTTGGACAGAAATGATGCACTGCAGTCAGAGTTTAAAACCAGTAGCGTAGTCGGCGAGTAAGTAAGTGTATGTCATGGCTTCTTTGGGGAAAACAGAAAAATAAATGTGCAGCGAGTGGGGGGGG